TCCCGCCTCACTCCTGGTAACCGATATTTCATTTACTGCTCGGAGGGGAGCTGCCCAGAGAATCAATCCTGGACAAGCGTCCAGGAGACAGGGGATCTAGGCAGGCACAAGAGCTGTTTCCAGGAGGAGTTCTGAGCCCCAGAGGAGGAGGCAAGAGGCAAAAACCCGGAGAAGGCAGCCAATTGTTCAAGGCTATTGTGGGCCTCACCAGAGTTCTGCTGACCCTGGCAATAGCTCCAGGACTCCTGAGGACTGGGAGAAAGCCCCACCGGTCCAGTGGCTTTGTTACCCCACCTAGATGTGTTGTTTTCCCTGCCCCCATTCCTTCTGCACTTATTTATCTGGGTGCCCCCCTCCCCATAAAGCTGTAACAGGTTAGATGTTGTTAATAAGGTTATTTTCACAAGTGGTGAAGGTATATTTGAAAAGCGGAATTGGAGGTGTGAGTTCCTCACTCCCTTCCAGGTAACAAACCTTACAATCCTACAAATGAAGTGATAATAAAGTGGAAGTGAAAAATCTATACATGTTTGGAACCGAAAGGGAGTGGAAGGGTCCCTGAGTGGTGGCAGCTGGGACTGGAGGAAAGAGACCAAAGAGCTACCCACCTCCCATGCTTTTCATATACTGAGCCCCATTTGCCTCATCTGCCAAAATTGAGAATCAAAGTTATAGGATGGGCAACTCCTATTACACAGCTGGCAAAACTAAGGCCCAGAGAAGAACTCAAGGTTGCTCAGGTTGGCTCAAGGCAGAGCTAGAACTAGAGATAGCAGGATCCAGTCTACCTGCAGGAAGAGGAGACAGAATTGGGTTCAAGTCCTTACCATCAGGACCTCCAAGTCAAGTCCTGTTTCAGGAAAAGATACTTCATTTCTCTGAGCCTCAGTTTCTCCATCTACAAAATGGGGGAGAAAATATAAAATCAAAATATCTATTTGAGGGTTGTCATGAGGGAGTGGATGAGAGCCTGTTTTATAAGTTGTGAAGCAAAATTCAGATGCATTATTATTATTTTAACCCAAGTCTCCTGAGCCCCATGATTTAAAGTTCTTGGTTTGTACTTCAATGCCTGGGATGGAGATGATGATAATGGAAGAAGATAAAGATTCCTGGGTTGTTCTCCTACCCAAAGTGAGTGTGGGTGTGGGGTTCTAGGAGAGGGCTTCATATGGGGTACCCAGGAGGTAGAGCTAAGTATTGGGAATGGAGAGCCCTGGGTCCTCCAATCTCTAGTGTCAATTCTCTCACCCCTTTGCATCATGGGCTCTGATTTGGGGTGAGAGCAGAGGAATACAGCTGAAGCCATGACTCACCCGTCTGTTCTGTCTCAACTTGCTCTGCTTGTTTCACCAAACATTACTGAATACTTCCTATAGGCAAGGCCCTAGCTTGGTGTCAAGGATCCAGAGATGGATGAGAAGCCACCAAAGAATCAAGATACCCGCAGGGATTGTAAAGATACATCCAAAATATAGTAGCATTCAAGGGTAGACAATGTTTCACCTACTGGGAACAGAATTACCTCTGAGGGAGCTGGATTAAGTGAGGTTTACATTTTTTACTTGTATAATATTTGGAAAGGTTTTATGACAAGTATGTATTCCTCCAAAATCTACCCACTGCTTGGAGTTGTTGCTGACACTAACCTTTGGGAGAATAGAGTGCTGAGGGGTTTATCTTCTCTTATCCAAGGGCTGGAAGAAAATTGGAGCTGGAGGATCAACATTATACATTCATCTCTGTATCAGTAATGTATCACTAGTATATGTATCATGAGCTGCTCTATTTATTTTGCATATATTCATTCATAAATGTAGTGGGGTACAGTGGTGCACAACTGTAGTCCAGCTACTTTGAGGCTGAGGCAGGAGAAAGATTGCAAATCTGATCCTAAATTGCCAGCTTGGATAATTTATTTTCTCAAAATAAAAAATAAAAAGGGCTGGGCGTGTAGTTCAGTGTTAAGTACACATAAATTCAATCCCCAGTACCAAAAAAAAAAAAAAAAGTATTTTGCATGTATTCATTAATTTAAACTGCACAATAATCTCACAAGGAAGTTAATATCATCAAGTCCAGTTTTGGGGTGAGAAAACTGAGGCACTGGGAGATGAATTAGCTTGCCCAAGATCACATGGCTTACCTTTTCTGAGAACAATTCTCTTAACTGTCCCTATGCTTCCCTCGAGGGGAGAGTCGATTCTTCCTCTCTCCCAGCAGGAGGAGCCTTTCCTCCCCTAAGACATCTGGCACCCTTTCCCTCAATGCTTGCTACCAGGGAAGTCTATGCAGGGGGTGGGGCTCCTGCCTCTTCTCAGCTGGTGACAGGTAAGTTCCAGTGTTCCTCCACAACACCCCAAGGCTTGGGCTCCTTTGCTCCCTTAGTGAGGAGCCCTAGCCTGGACTAAGAAAACTGCTCAGGCCAAGAGTTACAGACTTTCCTCCTGCCCCCGACCACAGGGAGGAATGGGTCTGCAAAAACCTTGACTACAACTGCCTGTAGGACACTTGCTTGTCATTCAAAGTCCAGGTCCACTGCCTGTTCTTCCATGAAGCCTTCCTGGACTCCTTCAGCAGTTAACTGCCTGCCTACAAGGCTGGACTGAAAGCATCTTCCAAAGAGGACAATGTCTCAGTACATAGCACTGTGCCAGTTGCATAATAACCACACTACCATAATAGCAGCTATTTCTCAGCCTCCTTAAACTTCCACCTTTTCCTCCTGTGATGGGCACTGTATACACTGCCCAGGTCTCCTTTGGGACTGAAGGATCTATTCTACCAGCTGCTGGGAATGCTGCTAGCAGATGGCTCACAGCTACCTTTGGGGATCGCCTCAACTGCCTTGCTCAACGTCTGCCCTCTTCTCAGAGTAGCCTGTCCCCCATGACAGACTGGCATGGAAGTTTAAAGGCCTGGTCCCCTGCATGGTCTCCTACTCGAGACAACTCTGAGTGTCCTCCCAGATTCAGAGCTCTCAGCTCAACCTTCTCCTTTTGTCCCATCCACGTCCTTCCCTTCTCTTCCACGTTGTTAATTTTTTTTTTTTAGAGAGAGAGTGAGAGAGGAGAGGGAGAGAGAGAGAGAGAGAAAGAATTTTAATATTTATTTTTTTTTAGTTATCGGCAGATACAACATCTTTGTTTTGTATGTGGTGCTGAGGATCGAACCCAGGCCGTACGCGTGCCAGGCGAGCACACTACCACTTGAGCCACATCCCCAGCCCCCACGTTGTTAATTTCAACAGCACTCCTCCATATACCTTCCTGTGTACTGATCCTCTTCCAGAGCCTGCTTGGTCTAGCTGGATGTGGTGGCACCTACCTGTAATCCCAGCAACTCTGGAGGCACAGGCAGGAGGATCACAAGTTCAAAGTCAGACTCAGCAACTTAGCAAGACCCTGTCTCAAAATTTAAAAAAATAAAAAAAAGGGCTAGGGAGTAGCTCAGTGGTTAAGATCCCCATCCCCTAGGTTCAATCCCTGATACCAAAACAAACAAAGACTGCTGGGCAGAGCACTCAAACTGGTACACCTATTACCATTTCATTAAATATCTGCAAGATACTTTGTCTAGATTATATCTAATCTTTGTAACAAAGTAGATTTTACTCCCTATTTTATACTTCAGAATCTGAGGGTTTGAGAGGCTGATCCGCCCATGATTATTCAGCAAGTCCCTTCTCACCGCCCACAGCAGGGTCTGACTCTTCCTCTTGTCTCATTTCACCTCCATTTAATTTTCTGAACCAGAGTAGGACACCGGCAAGATTCAACTTAAAGGACACAAGCAGCACCTGTTCCCTTAGGGTCGGTCTCCTGGGGCCCTAAGCTCTCCACTTCACCCCAAACCTCTTTTAAAATACAAATAAATTTCTGTGAGAGGGGACCCTTAAATGGAAAAACTATTCTTTAACAGTTTTATTTCCCTTGGTAGTAAAAATGTTAAGAGTACCCTGATTTTTTATTTCTTTATAAAGACAACATCTTTGTATACTTTTCTTGTTTTGTCTTCACCAAACTAGCAGAGCTATTCCATTATACAGATGGCAATTGAGATCCAGGAAAGTGAATAAAGAGTTTGGGCCAAGTCAACCAAGAATTAAATAACAATTCTACTAGCCTGATGACCTGCTCACAATCCCAGTGTGGGGACAGACCAGGTTTGCTGAAAGTAAGAGCAACTAACTCCTCTCAGCCTTCACCAGTTTGGTGCTAATCAGTCATAGAAAGCTATCCCCTTAACATATTCTGGGGCTTTGGAGGGTTTCAGAGCCGTACTCTCCTTCATGAATAGGAAGGACAGAATATTCACCACCACCCCCCCACCCACCCCCCGCTCTCTTTTTAAACCAGGGATTGAATCCAGGGGCGCTAAACCACCGAGCCGCATCCCCAGCCCTTTTTTAGTTTTATTTTTAGGAAGAGTCTTGCTAAATTGTTGAGGCTGGCTTTGAATTTGAGGTCTATCTCAGCCTCCCAGGTCGCTGGGATTACAGGCACGCGCCACCACGCCCGGCTCAACGCTATCCTAGAAGTTCACTTTGGGAGGGTCCTGGAACGGAAAAGGACGATGGAGAACGACTTGGATAAGAAGATGCCAACTTTGGCCACAGAAAAAGTGGTTTTTTTAAAACCTGTGTAATGTCTAGTTGCTGTAATTGGTAATGAATCAAGCCCCAGGAAAACAAGAGACTGAGCACGTCCCCCTCTGCGTATCCCAACCAGGTGCTGGTTTCTGTCTGCCACTCCGGTAGGTCCAGTCTGGGAGACTGTCTGCAAATCACCAGCCAGCAGGAAGGAAGTGCGCATGCGCATCTCGGATTGTCTTTGTTACTTAGGAAACAGCCAATCAACGGTCTGAGAGTTGACCAATGGGGAAGCGCGGAGGAGTCGACCAGCTAATTTGAACGCGCGGCGCGGGGTGAAGGACCCGGTAGGGAAGAGTGTGCTGAGCGAGCTCGTGAGTCTGAGCGCTTCGTTTGTAGCGGAGGGATTTCCACGCTAGCGGCAACACCAGCGGCGGGGAGTCCGTCAAAGGTAAGCTTTGTCCACGGTGGAGTAGGCCCTGTGGGATCTTGCGCTGGGTCTCCCGACACGTGGACCCAGTTGCTCCGGGACCGGAGCCTGAGCCAGCCCGCTGATGCAGAACGTGAAAGTATAGCGCGATCAGCGAACTCTGCCGTCGCGTCAGCAAGTCCTGGGTGGACCCCTCTGAACCAGGTGGGGAGCTGGGCGCTTCCTTACACCTTGCATACCGGAAATCACTATCCCTCTTGCTCTTCTGTCCAGGACTTAGACTGGGTCCGCACGTCTGCACCTGGCTCTCTGTATGCCGGCTCTGTGAAAGGTCCTCTCGCTCCTGTATGAGGAAGGATTGGGCCCTCCTGCACACTAGAATGGGAGACCTGGGACCCCCTAAACCATTGTCCTGCTATCTCTACAGAACTGATCGCTGAGTTGTATGTGCCATGGACTGTAACGTAGTTACTGGGGCACTCAATAAATATTAGATTGAATGAAGGAAGGAATGAAAGAACATCTGTAGACAGAAAAAAAAGCCTGTTACTGTTCTTAGGATGTTTCTCCTCTTAGCTTTGAACTTTTAGCGAACTGAAGTGATATGAAAAAGAAAAGCCACAGAACTTAGGGCATTTTATTGAAGACATTGGTTCTTTTCTGCATCATGGAGAAATGATATACTGTAGAATTTTAGTAATAATGGCTGTACTTCTTGAGCACTTACCAGGTTTGAATGAACTTAATCCTTACAGCAAACTTATGGGAGAGATATTAATGTTATTTACATTAACAGGTTTGGAAACTGAGGCACAGAGCAGTTGAGCCTAGCTCAGAGGAGAACACCTACAACATTTTTCAGAATGAGCTTCCCCTCAAGTTAAACTGATTTCTTCAATCTTCCTATTCTATTTATTTTCCCATGATGAACAACTACATGTATTCAGTTCTTCTTGGCCTGTTTCAGTATTTAATTTCCCCATGGCTCAGAGATTTTAAAGTGTCTCAATTTATTGGTTTTTATGTTATCCAGCCCCAGTTGTATCTTTTTTAAAAAGTGAACAAGTAGCATACTTTTAGACTTTTCTCTACCTGGCCACAAAGCAAATTTAAGTAATTATTAGAGTTTTTGTATAAATCATATTCTCTTTCCACAAGCAATTCAATTATAAATACCAATGAAAAAGAAAATTAAAGCAAATCCTCATTTGGAAATTTGAAAAATACTTTTAACTAGTCAAATAGGACATGATGATATAATTAAAAGATACTTTGCATGGAACAATGAAAAATACTATTTATAAAGCTTGTGGGATGCATTAAAGCAATACTTAGAAGATAATATAGTCATAAATATTTACATTTGGAACATTTAAAAAAAACTAAAGATAAACAGACACAGATAGAACCAAACAACAGAATACATATGTAAAACATAAAAGGAAGAAGACAGCCAGGCACAGTGTTGTGCCCCAGTAATCCCAGTGACTGGAGAGGCTGAGGTAGAAGGATCTGAAGTTTGAGGCCAGCCTGGAAAATGTAATGAGACCCTGTCTTAAAAATAAAAAGGACCAAAGCCAGGTGCAGTAAGTGGTGCCCATCTGTAATCCCAGCAACTTGGGAGGCTGAGACAGAAGGATCTCAAATTCAAGGCCAGCTTCAGTAATTTAGCAAGGCCCTAAGCAACTTAGACCCTGTGTCAAAAATTGGGGAGGGGGGGCTGGGATTGTGACTCAGCTGTAGAGCGCTTGCCTAGCATGGGTGAGGCCTTGGGTTTGATGCTCAGCACCACATAAAAATAAGTAAATAAAATAAAGGCATTGTATCTAATTACACCTAAAAATTAAATATTAAAAAAAAAGAGGGGAGGGACTATGATTTAGCTCAGTGGTAGAGCACTTGCCTAGCACATGTGAGACACTGGGTTTGAGCCTCAGCACCACATAAAAAATAAATAAATAAATAAATAAAGGTATTATGTCCATCTACAACTAAAAAATACATTAAAAAAAAAAAAAAAGGTCTTGGGATGTACTCAGTGGTAGATCACCCCCTGGATTCAATTCCCAATACATAGACACAAAAGAAGATAAAGAGCAGAAAATAATGAAATAGAATTTTACAATATAAAAGGATTAACTTAGCCAAAAGTTGTATCTCTGAGAAGACTAATAAAAAAAAAACCTTCACAACATTGATGGAAAAACAAAGGAAATAAAAAATAATCTTCTACACAAAAAAAGGGAACATAACTTTAGTTAAATTACAAAGATTAAAAGAAAGTCTTCAATGGAACACCCTTTTTAAAAATGCTTTTGAAAAATTTCTAGGAAAAAACTTACCAAAACTGGCTCAAGAAGTTATGGAAATTTTTAATAGACCTAACACTACTGAGAAAACTGAATTCATTTTAAATATACCTTCATACACATAAAAAAAAAACCTCACCAAATTCCATCAGGCCATTAGGAAAAATGATTCTATTTTTATATAAACTATCCCTAAAACATTTTCAGAATTTTTTATGATTCTACAGATGAGAAAAAGAAAATTACAAATTAATGTCTTTTATAAATATAGTTGTAGAAAGTCTTAAACAAGCTGGGCACGGTGACACACTCCTATAATCCCTGCAATAGAAGGGATTACACGTTCAAGGCCAGCTTCGGTGGTTTAGGGAGACCCTCAGCAAATTAGTGAGACCCTGTCTCAAAATAAAAAATAGAAATGACTGGGGGATGTAATTCAGTGGTAAAAAATGTCCCTGGGTTAAATCCCCAGTACAAAAAAAAAAAAAAAAAAAAAAAACCAAACCCTTAAAATATTAGCAATCAGAAGCCAGCAATGTATTAAAAATAATATGACCATGTTGAACTTATTCAGAAGTGCAAGAATGGTTTAACATTAGAAAATCTATTAACACAGGTATAGTGATATAGCTTAGTGGTAGCTTGTATTCCTAGCATGCTCAAGGTCCTGGGCTTGATATTCCCAGTACCAAAAAAGGAAAAAGAAAAAGAAAGAAACTCTATTAATACAATTTACAGATTAAAGGAGGAAACATATTGCAATTAGCACAGAAAAAATATTCAATAAAACTTTATACCAATTCATCAGTAAACTAGAAATGGAGATAAATTTCCTTAAACCAACAAAGTATAAAATACTAGGAACATTCCATATAAAATCAGGAAAGAAAAAAGAATGCTCATTCTTATTGCTTTTATTCAATATTGTACTGGAGTTCCTAGTCAGAACCATAGACAAAAAAAATAAAAATAAAAATAAAAAATAAGATTAGAGCTGGCTCGATGGTGCTCACCTATATCCCAGTGGCTCCTGAGACTAAGGCAGGAGGATCACAAGTTCAAAGCCAGCCTCAGCAATTTAGAGAGACCCTGTCTCAAAATAAAAAAAGAAAAAGGACTGGGAATGTGGCTTAGTGGTTGAGTACCCCTGGGTTCAAACCCTGGCACCATAAAATAAATAAATAAATAAATAGGATTAGAAAGGAATAAACAAAGCTATTGTCAGTTACAGCCTTAGGATAGTCTATTAAAAAAACAAAGCGCTGGGTTCAAACTAGCCTCAGCAACTAAGTGAGCCTTAAGCAATTTAGCAAGGAGACCCTGTCTCGAAATAAAAAAATAAAAAGGGCTGGAGATGTGGCTCAGTGGTTGAGATCTCCTGGGTTCAATCCCAGGTACCAAAAAATAAAATAAAAATAATAAGCAAAACACAGCTCCTTCTTATATCCACCATGCACAGGAAGAACCAGTGGTCCTGGGACACTGTCCTCTGGGTACCAAGGTGAGGAGAGGTGGGAGCTGCCAAAGCCCCATGGCAGGGCAGAACCACCTAAGGATGGAGTAGTGCCTCTGGTGACAGAAAGAGGTCAGGTTCTGGCCTTGCTTACTACCCTACCTGCTTGATGTGATAAGTTCCTTCCAGTACCTCCAGTTTCCTTGGTAGAATAAGAATGTAACATGGGCTGGGGCTGTAGCTCAGCGGCAGAGCACTTGCCTAGCATGCTTGAGGCATTGGGTTCGGTCCTCAGCACCACATAAAAATAAATAAAATAAAGGTATTTGTCCATCTACAACTGCAAAAAAAAAAAGAATCTAACAATTGTATCATACTCACATAATGATATTGTTGTGAAAGTTAAATGAGAGCATTTGTAAAGCACCTAGCATAGAGTACTTAGTGTAGTATCTGATACAGTCTGTAAACCACTCAGTAAATGATAATTATTTTTAGGCTTTCGGATTCAGACTGCTCTTCTCTGGCTCTTATTCATTGATAGAACAAACATTATTCTGCATCTGCTGCATGTTCTCTTGGAGCTTAAGGATATACAAATATAAAGGGTATAAAGGGTTCTGAAAGAACAATGAAGGGAGGTACAGAAACCCCTATAACAGTAGAATATCTAAGGGCTGGGCTCCTTCCCTGACTTTCCTAACTCCCAGTGTCTGCAGGGGGATCCCCTCAAGTCTTCAATAATTCTCCTTTAGGAGCTTTTAAGGAACTTTTGCTTGTTGGGTCTGTCCCTAAGAGGGTGGAAGAAAAGGCCACCCCCAAAACAACTGAATCTTGGCTTCCCAGCCCTAGCTCAGTAGCACACTAGCCTCTGGGTTTTAATGAGCTGCCCTGGGTTAGAAATAGGACGTGACTGTGGCTGGCTGAGAACCCTGAAGATCTTATTAAAGAATCATCTCCCTTGTACTTTGGGCTGAAATGCTCTTTCCAACCAAGGATCAAAGCAAACTTGACAAACGTTCTCTCATTAATCTCCCCATCCCCCTAGGGTGGGAGCAGATCGGTAGCTTTCTCCCTAGCTCTCAAAGGGGGAAGCTGATGTGACATTGATGCTGGGTGGCTCTTGGAAAGACCTCCCCCTACGTCAGATACAGAACAGAGACTAGGACCCAGGTGTCTTAGGGGCTCCCATGGTAAGTGTCACCCGCATCCCATACCCTGTGCTCCCAGCACTGTCTCAGGAAGAGGAAAAACATCTCATTAGGCAAACAGACTCGGCCTCGCTGGCCCTCAGGAGGCTGGGAGGAGAGAAACTGTAAAGGTTATGCACACTCCTTTGCCAGTGCCCTTTTTAATTTCCTGCTTGGAATGTTAGGCTGCTTTATGTCTCCTCCTCAGCCAAAACCCTCCCGGTGGGATGTTGGGACTGCCAGGAAGGAGCCAGTGTAGACTCGGGCATCCTCTGACTTTATTTCCCACAGTAAAAAAGTGGAGTTTCCTGGGAGTAAGAATTCAAGGGCAAGAAACTCAAGCGCTAAAAGTTAGGTTCAATCCACATGTCTACAAGTGTTTACTGAAAACATAATGCTAGTCCCATAAAGGGGATTATGATTATTATACTAACATAAGGGGCTATTACAAAAATGTGATCATCAAAGCATAATATATAATATTATCAGACACTCTGCGGTCAGACTGCCTGGGTTAAAATAGGACTCCATCACTCACTAGCATTGGGACCTTGGGCAAATTGCTTAACCCTCTCTGTCTCAATTTCCTCACTGAAAAATGAGTATAATAATACTATCTATCTTGTGGGATTGCAGTGGAGATAAAAGGAGATGATATGTGTAAGGTGCTTTGAATAGTCCCTGATACAGTGATAACTTAGCTAATATGTTTATTATGACAATCTGATTGCTGGAATAGAAATCAAATTATTCTACATTATTGTTCCTTGATATCTTTCCCTTGTCTGCTGTGGGGAAGAAGTTTAGGAATAAGGGGACAAGAATTCCAAATCAGCTCAATTTGGCTCATTCCCCAAGGTAATACCCCACTTTTCTTTGCTGAGTGCGCTCAGTAATTGTGACCTATCAGCCATACCTCGCCTTTACTGGTAAAGAGTTCTTTTGTTCATATCCTCCAGTAACAGTCTCCTTCCCCATTTCTTAACTCCTGTTAATATGTCCCTAGAATTGGGCTAAAGTTTTCCAGGAGATCTGTTAAGTTCTACATTCCATAATTCCATCCCCACTCTTGGTAAACTGCCTCAAAGGAGAAATGAAAAGCCAGGGGGTACCAGTGTGTGTGGTGTGACTGCCTGTAATCCTAACAACTCAGAAAGCTAGCAGGAGGATCACAAGTTCAAGGCCAGCCTCAGCAATTTATCGAGGCCCTAAGCAACTTAGTGAGACCCTATCTCAAAATAAAAAATAAAAAGGGCTGGGAATGTTACTCAGGGGTTAAACACCTTTTGGTTCAATCCCTGGTGGCCCCCCCCCAAAAAAAAAAAAAGAGAGAGAGAGAAAGGCCTGGGGGAGCTATGAGAAGGAAGGGGACTTAAGTGTTTGCCATAATTACCAGGTCAACACTGGGGAATCTGTTGTCACCCCTGGCATAAGAAGATTAAAGGAAAAATACTGAATGATCATTTCAGCAAGCCCCAAAAAGAATTTGATAAAATTCAACACTCATATCTGCACCCCTAATGGGCAGTAGAGGGTGGGCAACTAAATAAAGAAAAATAGAACATAAAAATAGAACATAACTGTCATTATTTGCAAACTATATTATCATTTAATTGAAAGGCCTAAGAGAATCAATGGCAATCTATTAGAACTAATAAGGGAGTCCAGCATTGTGACCGGATACCTGATCTGCATACTGATCTGAAGCTTTGCCATATTCTGGTAAAAAGTGAATTTGAAAATGTAATTTTAAAAGGAGCCTATTCACAATATAACAAAGACTGTGTAATAACCAGTAATAAACCTATCAAGAAATATATATTACTCATGTGAGGAAAATTATAAAATTTTTCTGAAAGATTATAAAATTTTAAATAAATAGGAATAGATACCAGGTCCTAGATGGGAAGACTCTGTAACATAAAGGATTCTTCTCATATTAATCTACAAATTCAAAATAATCCAAATTAAAATCTTAGCAAGATTTTTCATAGAACTTCAGAACCACCAGTTTGCAGCTACACATGCTTGCAATCCCATCTACTTAGGAGGCCGCAGCAGGAAGATAACAAGTTTGAGGTGAGCCTGGGCAACTTAGTAAGACCCTGCCTCAAAAAGTTCAGTGGCAGAGTAGCCCTAAATTCTATTTGCATAAAAATCTAAATGTAAGAGAAGAAAAAAGCATTAGATTATATGAAAAGTGTTTATTACCTTAGAGAAGGAATGTCTTCTTAAATATGACATAGAAGCCACAAAAGAAAAGACTGGCATATTTGACTATTTAAATATTAAAAGTATCACTTTAGCCCAGGGTAGGGATTTTTTTCCCAGAATATACGGTTGGATTGATATCAGCAATAATATACCACAAGGAGCAAAGACATGTAATGTATTGGTAGATGCCAAAAGGGTATTGAATAAAATTCTAGACTTTCCTAATAATGACTCTATATAAAATAAGAATAAGAGAAATAATTAATATGATAAAGACTCTTTATCCCAAACTCATTTCTAGAGAATGAGGCAATAAGGCCATTTTCTATTAGATCAGAAGCAAAACAGCATGTCTGTTATCATCAGTTATTCAAAATCATTTTTTATAAGTTCTAGAGACTGTAATATATAAGAAATAAAATAGGCATAAATATGGAGAAGAAAAGGTCAAACATTTTTTTTATTTACTGGCACATAATTGTATACTTGGAGAATAAAAAAAAAAAAAAATCCTAATAAGCAAATTGGAATTAAGAAAGTTTGAGGGTGGTAGATATAAGGTGAATATCTATAAGATCAGTTGTTTCTCCATTTTAGCAATTACCAGCTGGAAATGGGAGAAAGTTTTCCATTCATTAAAGCAAATAAATGTATAAAACACTTAGGAATTATATTTAAAGAATAACAAAATAAATATGTAAATGCAGATGTTTTGTTTTGAGGGGAGAAGGGGATCTGGTTGTGAGCAGAACTGATAAGGTTTTATGTTTAGGGTTTTTTTTTTTTTGTTTGTTTGTTTGTTTGAGACCAGTCCTTACTAAGTTGCTGAGGCTGGACTTGAACTTTGTGATCCTCTTACCTTAGTCTCCTGAGTTGGGATTATAAGTGTGCACCATCACTTCTAGCAGTAAAATTTTCTTAAAGACATTAAATACCTGGGAATAGCGAAGAAAATTATGAAAAAGACTTTCAAGGGGCTCATGCCTTACTCGATAAAATCACAGTAAAGTAACATAGTAGGAAGAGTGTGATGTTGGCATGGAGTAGATAAATAGCTCAGTGGAACAAAATAGAAAGTTAATACACCAACGGAAACAGAGTCATTTTTAAATATGGCAAAGGTGTATTTCAAGTGAGAAAGAGATATGTATAAATAATTGACACTGGTGCCAATATGGGAAGGGAGAAGGAGGAGGCCCCTGGATATTGAAGGGCACCTGGCTAGGTCTGGGTTGGTTTGGTCCTCATCTCCATCATCTCTCTGCTCAGGTGTTGCCATGGTGATGGCTGTGGAGGACAGCATGGTGCAGGTGGTGGTGCGGGTGCGACCCCCCACCCCTCGGGAGTTGGAGAGTCAGCGGTGGCCTGTGGTTCAAGTCCTGGATGAACGGGTGCTGGTGTTTGACCCTGAGGAACCTGATGGGAGCCTCAAATGGGGTGGTATCCATGACGGCCCCAAGAAGAAGGGCAAGGGCCTGACATTTGTCTTTGACCGGGTCTTTGGTGAGAAGGCCACCCAACAGGACGTGTTTCAGCACACCACAAGCAGAATCCTGGACAGCTTCCTCCAGGGCTACAACTGCTCAGGTAAGAACCTGAATCCTGCTTGGTAGCAGCCTTGCTTCCTTCTGGGGGGGGGGGGGGGGGTGGTTCCCCTGTCTCCTGACATAGGTCTGCCTGTCCCTCAGCTGGCATGACCTGTTGAGGGGAGCTCTGGCCTTTTCATCCTGTCTGGAGGGGCCCCATTCATTCACTGTACTGTGTGAGGCACTAAAAATGTATACACCAGAGCCTAGCATACAGTAGGCAGTTAGACAGACGCAGCTCCTGGACTCTTGATGCTGACAGTCTAAAGAGGAGAAGACACTGATCACAAAAACACAGCTGCATTTGTGTTTATGAACCACAATGAATGCTAGTGAGGGAAACAGTGGTGGGCCTTCATTGGAGGAAGCTCCCTAGACTGGAGGAGCTGGTGATAACGCCCACCCACAGTGCAGCTCCCTGGAGTCCACAGACTTGTGGGAGCCAGGACAGATGTGTGGAGGACCAAGAGGCTGAGCATGAGTGCTGGGTAGGGTACAAGAGGTAGGAGCAGTGGAACCGCAGACTGGTGGACATGGATGAAAAAGGAAAGGGGCTTGGGAGAAAGGCAGGGCTGAGCTGGGTGGAATATGCTGGTGGCAACCCTGGGGCAGGCGGGCCTGGCCTTGCTGACACCCTTCTCCCCACTCTGTCCTCTGCAGTGTTTGCCTATGGGGCTACTGGGGCTGGGAAGACACACACCATGCTGGGAAAGGAGGGGGACCCTGGCATCATGTACCTGACCACCATGGAACTGTACAAGCGTTTTGAGGCCTTCCAGGAGGAGAAGCAATTCGAGGTGCTCATCAGTTATCTGGAGGTAGGGCTGCTCCCTCTCTCCCACCTCCCAACCCGGGACTCCATCCCTCATTCATCTTCACCCTGCAAAGTGCCTTGTATCTGGTGCCTCAAATACACACCTGTTTCTTGCTTCCCTATACAGCAACTGTGCCCATTCCAGCCTGCACTGAGTAGAGAGTCCTCTCCCTCTTGTCCTTTCTCCTCAGGTGTACAATGAACAGATCCATGACCTCCTGGAGCCCAAGGGACCCCTAATCATCCGCGAGGACCCTGACAAGGGGGTGATGGTGCAAGGACTTTCTTTCCACCAGGTATAGGATTGGGCACAGGTGGGAACAGCAGCCCCACTTGTCCTCCAGGGTTTCCTCATAAGGCAATTTGGGGATATCCTGGATGTTGGGGTAGTGGCAGTAGCAAGAGAGGGGTGACATTGGCTCTGAAGAGCAGCCCTTTCTGTTAGGGGAAAAGCCCTGGTGGGAGACCACAGCCCCCTCCCTGCCATCTCCTCTGCAGCCGACCTCAGCTGAGCAGCTACTGAAGATGCTGACCAGGGGGAACCACAACCGTACCCAGCACCCCACAGATGCCAATGCTACTTCCTCCCGCTCCCATGCCATCTTCCAGGTAAGCAGGGTCATGGACTGAGCATGATACTTGGGCTCCTGGTGCCCACGTCCCCCTCACTCCTGCCCTTCCCCTCCAGATCTTTGTGAAGCAGCAGGACCGAGTCCCAGGACTGACTCAGGCCCTACAGGTGGCCAAGATGAGCCTGATTGACCTGGCTGGCTCAGAGCGAGCATCCAGCACCCATGCCAAGGGGGAGCGCCTGCGGGAGGGTGCCAACATCAACCGTTCTCTGCTGGCCCTCATCAATGTCCTCAATGCCCTGGTGGATGCAAAGGTAAAACAGTGTAGGCCCAGTACCCAGGACAGCAACTGAGGCCTAAACCAGTGGTCCTTGTCTTCAGCCCTGGGCGGGAGGCCACCAGACCCTGACCAGGTTATTCTAATACAGCTGTGTCTCCCCTAATCCACTGACTGCCTCAGGGCCGCAAGTCTCATGTGCCCTATCGAGACAGCAAACTGACCCGCCTGCTGAAGGACTCCATTGGGGGCAACTGCCGCACAGTGATGATTGCTGCCATCAGCCCCTCTAGCCTGTCCTACGAGGACACTTACAACACCCTCAAATATGCTGACCGGGCCAAAGAGATCAGACTCACGGTGTGTACCAGTTAGGGATGGCCAACCTGAGTGTGGAGGGATCTCCTAACCTGGTAGGAGGATGGGACAGGACCAAGACAGCTTCCTCAGATCCCTGTCCAATGTCCCCAAGCAGAGGAAAGAAGTTCCCTGGGCTCTATGATAGGAACAACACTGTCCCTGCCTTTGGGAAGATTCCAGTTGGACCAAGGCAGACAGTCTACTCCGAGGGAGACATGGAGCAGGGGGCCCAGTGGGCCAGTAGCCTGATTCTGACTTGTTTTAAGCAGTAGGATCATAGTTTTAGCAAAATGACATAAACACCCATGTATGTTAACAAAAGCAGAGGTGCTTTGGCCTCCGCCATACTTGCTGGGCCTTCCCTTATGGGCCTCCCCTCCCTGCCTCCTCGGGAGCCCTGGCTCACCTGGAACTGCTGCAGATCAGCCCCCATCTAGCAAGAATGTCTTGTCCAGAGAGTCAAGCATCAGGTTCATAGGCAGGCACTCCTTTGTCCTTTGCTGTGGTCCCAGGCACATTACTGACCTTCTCTGGTCTGTTTTTCTACCTGTAAGAGGGGGTCCTTGGTACTGTAAGTGAGGTTCCTGTGTGATGCCTGGTCACCAGAGGTGGTTGATAACAACTGCTTTGTATGAACAAACCAATCTTTTCCCTGTGTCTCTGACTCAGCTGAAGAGCAACGTGATCAGTCTGGACAGTCACATCAGCCAGTATGTCACCATCTGCCAACAGCTCCAGGCTGAGGTGAGGAGCTTACTTGGGGAACAGACTTGGGGCAAGGAGTGAGAGACAGGAGCTGGGGTGCAGCAGGGCTCTCTGCCCATTCCTCACCTCTTGGGCTCAGCTGAGTTTAAGACTGCTGTCATTGCAGGTGGCCTCCCTAAGGAAGAAGCTTCAAGCGTATGAGGCAGGAGCCCAGGCCCCACAGCAGGGTCTCCCACAGTCCCCCAAGTTGAGCCCTCAACAGCAACAGTGAGTTCTCCTGCCCATATACGTCCCACCCTTCAGCTCAGCTGGGACAGGGAACTGGGCCCCTTCTCTGTCTTTCAGATGTTCCATACCTAGGGTTGGGGATTCCCACCAAGGGCCAGCAACTGATTATCTCCTAGAATGTCTTGTTTTGTCAAATGAGCATATAAGCAAGTGGAATCTACTCATTGAGAGAAAGTGAACTTAGAGTTTGGGTGTTATTGTTTCTTAAAGCAGAAAATCCCTGAAACCTTCTTCTGTCCTTAACCACAGCCCATCTGTCACTCAAGCATTGTTTCTGGGCTCTGCCACCTGGTGCTGCAGAGGTCCCCCTCCCTGCTCACCCTTTCTGCCTCCACATCATATCTTTCAAACTCTTATTTCCCCCTTAGCCTTCCTAGCTCCCCTTTAGTGTCCCGTCCCCGCAGCCAGCCCTGGACCCCAGAACTCCACATGGGATCTGGAGATCTTCAAGAGGGGAGCCTAGGGACAGAGGCCCAGGAACAGAGGGTCATAGAAGAAAGCTCTTCAGACCAGGAGCAGACCCCAGAGGACAAGGACGAAGACCCTACTGAGGTAGGGCTTAGGGGCAGGAGGCCTGGGCCTCCGGGGGGCTTGGGGCTGGTAGAATATTTGAATAAATGTGTCTCTTTAACTCAGCGTCCCTTTAGTCCCAGTTCTCCTCCTGGGTTTCTTACGTCTGTCAGATCCTTGTATGTTTGGAAGTGACTGGGAGAAAGCAAGCTTCTCCCAGGGCATGGCCATTCTTCGGGGAGCTGCCATCCTGCCCCTGCGGGAGGGAAGGGTTTTAGAGTTTTAGGAGGTCATCCTGGCTCCTCTACCCCCTTTTGCTTTAGGTTCCAACCCAGACACTGGAGCAGAACCTCAGACCCCCACTGTCAGAGTCTGCTGGTTTGACCCCGCAGCCTAAGCCGGTGGCCAGCCACCTATCACCACAGAACCTGGATGGGGACCGTTCTAAGCAGTGAGTGTCTTTTGCTTCTACTCTGGCCTCCAGGGTGGGAAGTGAGGGGCTTACCCTCCTGGGGGTGGGACCTGGTTCTAATTAAGAGTCAAGTTTCTTTTCATCGACGACGTCATCCCTTATCTGCTTTCAACTCCTAGATATGATCACCTAACTATTTACTTAGCATCATCTCTATTTATTCCTCCATGTAACTGGCAGCCCAACAGGCGAGAGAAGTAAAACACCAAATTCCATCAGGACAGCCAGCAAGTGCTGAGCTAGGGCAGGCTGCTAGGGCTAGCACTTGGCCTGGCAATTTGAGGGCAGAGCTGCTGTCAGAGTGAGGAGGGTGCAGCTGGGAGGAGCTGGGTGTCAGGCGGAGGAGGAGTCAACCTTCCTGAGTCAGTTGCTTCTCATGCATCTTCATCAACAGATCGACTGTGACTATTTTTTTCTCAGAAATAAATACAAACTTCCAACTTGAGCCAGAGAGGAAGGGTTTGGGGACCTTCCTTCTGTGCTTCACTGAGGGGTGCTGCTGTATTTTTCCCTTGGCCCCAGGTCCATAAATCCCCTGCCGCTTAGTGGTGCTACTGCCAGCCCTGCTCCCCCCTCCCCGGCATGCTTCACACTAGGCAGTGTATTTAAAGCTTCCGGACAGAAGGGCCTGTTTAATTTTATTTCTTGTTGGGGAGTGTCTGTTCCCGACTCAGCAAAAAATGCTGTGGCCTGAATAATCAGCGGCTCATTATCTGTCTCTTGCTGCCAACTCCCTGGGGCCTGGAGAGGCAGGGATGCACGGGTGGGATGTCCCGTTGGCCTCCCAGGGAACAACCACAGGTTCCCACAGATGACTCATGGTCTCTCTGCTTGGTGTCCCCTCTTATGAGGAGAGAGGACCAATGTCCTCATTTCTGCTCTGCCTCTGGTTTTGTGGTTTCCGGCAAGTTCTTTCAATCTTGGCTATGATTTGGGGATCATAATCTTTATTCTCCCTAGTTCTTGGAGAATACTAATGTAATATTAATGAAGTACTAATACAATCCCTAGATTAAGGAGTGGTAGAACATTCTAGATCATTTCCATGTTTGGAAACACTCTGACAAGCAGATAATCGAAAATCATTTCTATTTGGCTTTCGAATTGAGAATCTTGGATCATCAGGACATTGAACAGAGCTGAGATTTTCCAGTTCAGTGGTTTCGTAGGATTTTTTTTTTTCAGCTGCAGAGTCCTCTCTTTACATGGAATCTCACGCTGAGTTCTAATAGATATGACAGACAGCAGAGTTGCTTGCTGTCTAATAGGCATTTGAAACTTAATTTGAAAATTCCTGATTTAGACCAATTCCCCAATTGTTGGCTGGAGAGGGGGTGGGGGCTGAGGCTTCTGTACAGGGCCAGACCTGGGTCATCTGACTTCCAGGCCCATTCATTTCCCTCCAAAACCCACTCTTCTCAGTAGTCTAATAGGCCTCAAAGCTGCTTTACCAAATGAGTGTAAGTTCCCTGAGCACACGTGACCGAGGGCCGTGGGGGTTCAGAGGTGTCCAGACAGGTAGTGTTCCCTGAAGGTAAATCATTTGCTATGAATAATCCTACTGAGGTAATTCTGTTTATTTTTTTATCATAGGTGTGCCTTACAGAAAGAAAATTTGCTTTATGAGAATCTAAATTTACAACATTAATAATCTCAATACCCTCAGAATTTCCTTTAAATAGTTCCCAGAGCATGTAAAATATGTGTTGATTCACACACACTTTTTCAGGATCCCATACACTAAATAGAGGACACAGACCAAATGCCTTTTTGAGGGTCTTCTCAGAGCCAAGGTCAATTTAACCTATCTTAGTTTGTCTCCTTTTAACCTAATGAGGTAGATGGTATTATTACCATTTTGCATAATATAATAAACTCACAGTGTTTACTATATGTGAGGTATTCTTTAAACATTCTGTAAACAAAATAACTTTTTGTTTTTGGTTCTGGTGATTAAAACCAGGGTACTTTACTGTTGAGCTATATCCCTGGCTCTTTTTTCCTTTTTTTTTTAAATTTTATTTTGAGACAAGAGTCTACTAAGTTGCTTAGGGCCTCTCTAAGTTGTTGAGACTGACTTCAAACTTGGAATCCTCCTGCTTTAGCTTCCTGAATCACTGAGATTATAGGTGTACACCACCATGCTTGGCTAAAATAACTCAATCTCTCCAACAATCCTATGAAGTGGGTGCATTTGTTATCCTTTTCTTAAGTTTATGGACCAGTGCATCCAAGATCACACAGCTGGGAAGGGTTGAGCTGAGAGTTGAGCAGGTATCTGGCAGTCTGACTTGAGCTGGTTTTTTTTTTTTTTGTACCTGGGATTGAACTCAGGGGCACTCAGCCACTGAGCCGCATCCCCAGCCCTATTTTGTATTTTATGTAGAGACAGGGTCTCACTGAGTTACTTAGTGCCTTGCTTTTTGCTGAGGCTGGCTTTGAACTCATGATCCTCCTGCCTCAGCCTCCCAAGCCACTGGGATTACAGAAGTCCACCCAGTTTAAGCTGGGTTCTTAACTGCTACCTTATATCGCCCTCAGGGTAAATGAGCTTATGATCACAATGCTAATAAGTGGCAGGGCTTAGAGGAAACTAAGACCTTCCAAGTCCAAAGTCACTTAGCACGTTTCCCTACTTTCCATGTCACTGTCTTTGTCATGGGGCATGTATAATGGGTGATACTTATTACCCTTGCCTATGGCCATCTTGGCCTTTTGCAAGGATATGACAGAGTTGGAACCCTGGGTGAGAGGCCAGCCAGCTAGTGTGGGGCAAGGCAGGAGAAAACTAGGGGACCAGCTCAGGTATGCTCCTCAACCACAGCGAGTGATGGGGACAATGCCTGGCATAAAGGACCCTGGTCAGGCTGTATCTAAGTAGAGCTCCCTGTCCTTCTATTCCAGGTTGGCCCTGCAGGTGCTGTGCCTGGCCCAGAAGCAGTATTCCCTGCTCCAGGCAGCCAACCTCCTGACTCCTGACATGATTACTGAGTTCGAGACCCTGCGGCAGCTGGTGCAAGAGGAGAAAGCCGAGCCTGGGGACAAGACCTCCAGGACTCCTGGCCTGTCTGGGAGGGCCCCTCTGACCCAGGAGCTGTGTTCAGCCTCAAGTGAGTTTCACCCCTGCTCTGCCTGCCTATGGGTGCCCAGCTGGTTAGGAGGCTGGACCCCAAGGATCGTGTACTTCTGCAAACAAAGAGGCCCCAGGAAACCTGAGGAGTTAAGGGTTCCTTCATGTCTCCAGTGTCTGGCTTCCCAAGTTCTTCACATTCTCTTTCCTCTTGGCTAGTCCCTGGTCTCTCCTCAGCACCCTCCTCTCTCTGCCCAGAATCTCCAGGGTACTGTGGCCCTGTGACCCGAACAATGGCAAGAAGATTGAGTGGCCTCATGCACCCTCTGGGGATCCCATCTGAGCCTGATGGCACCCTAGCCTCAGCATCCCAACAGCCCACAGAGAAGAAGAAGAAGAAGAAAAGAAAGAGCACAAGCCTCACAGAGCCAGACAGTCCCCTAGCCCCAAAGCTGGCGACCAAGCGCCAGCGCCAGTCTTTCCTACCCTGTCTGAGGAGAGGGTCTCTGCCTAAGGCTCAGCCTTCATGTGGGCCCAGCACCCCCAAAGGGGCAAGGGCCTCCTCCCCCTGCCATTCCCCTCGCTTCTGCCCAGCTACAGTCATCAAAAGCCGGGTGCCCCTGGGCCCTTCTGCTATGCAAAACTGCTCCACCCCTCTACCTGCTCGTGACCTGAACACCACTTTTGATCTCTCTGAGGAACCCCCATCAAAACTCAATTTCCATGAATTTGTTGGCTGGGAGAATGTCCCCCAGGAACTGAACCGGCTGGACCAGCCCTTCATTCCCAGGTAAGTCTCCCTCCCAACCTCCCAGCATAGGTCAGGGGTCAGCAAGGGTGCTGCCAACAAGAATGGAAGACACTGGATTTAGGAGACAGGATATTTGCCATCTCTTTCCCTTTGGTCATGGTCAGCTTTGCCACCCAGTCCCAGGAGAGCAGAGTGCACAGAGGACAGGAGGCATGGCTTAATCAGGGGCCGTCCTGTCATATCAGGGCCTTCATGCTCATATCCACCAGCTCTATGCTGGTTTGTGGCTTGCACATGCATAGCTAATAGAACCCCCACTTGGGAAGAGTCAGCAGGGAACCAGGAATTAATTGAGCCCAGCCCTGTCTGTTCCTTTGCTTTGCTTGGGCACTATGTCCTGATCTGAGTTTTGTCCCACTGGAACAAAAACTATTTCTGCCACTTTCCCCCCCAGATTTTTCCCCTCCAGCCCAGCATCTGGAATAGAGAAATAAAACTTTCTTCAGTATTTTCCAGTGAGAAGGTCCAGCTGTTACCCTTGCCCTCCACCCACATGGCCAGAGAGAGGAATAACAACCAGCTCAGGACAGTCCAAGGCCAAGAACAAGTGGCAGGCTAACCGGGACCTGTGAGGCAGAGGCCACAGGCTGCCCACCTGCACTCCTGCACCTTCCATGGCCCCTGAACCTGCTCTCAGTAACAAGCTCAGAGCTGGGCAGGTGGAAGGGTGAAATTGTTTGAACTCCAGTTCCCAGAACGCACCAGAAACTGACATCTGGATGTTCTCCCAGAACAGGGCTGTCACTCAGCTGTCAGCCCAGGCCTGGTGAGGCAGGGAGAGAATCCACCTCTTAGCAGGAAGAAACTTCAGGTCATCTTGTCCAACCTCCCCGTCCTCGCAAGCTGGGAGTTAGAGGGAATAAGAGTAGCCACTGTCACTTCTGGTTCCTTCCTTATCTGCTTCTCTCCCTCTGCCTGCTCCCCAGTGAACCTGTGCTCCTGCTTACCATGAAAGGCCCCAAACCAACGTCTTCCCTCCCTGGAAACTCAGCCTGCAAGAAGAAGCGCACCATGAGGTAAGGTCTGGAAGCTGTTGAGGTGAGGGCATGGAGAAAGAGCCCTCATTGGGGTGTTAGGCACACCCCACAGACCCCTTCCTGATGTGTCTCTGGACTCCTTGGAGCAAGCAGCCAAGGTCCTGTGAGCAGAGCCAGCATCTAATTCTCTGATTGGAATTTCTTTGGCCTTTGATTGTTATTATAGGATCATCCCAGAGTGATCATCTAAGGTCCCCTATCCACAGGGAGATATTCAGCATTTATTGGTTAATCCAAATGATTGGACTATCCCCTTCTTTATTCTCCTATGTCCCAAACTCCACAAGCCTCTCCAGCTCCCGCATCTGGCCTTGGAAACTCTTCCTGGTTCTCAGCTCCCCTGCCCTCAAGGCTTAGCGGATAGTGCTGTCTCCCTCCACCTACCCACAGTCAAGGACATGGCTGTAACCTTCCTTCCTTCCCTTCCTCTCTCAGTTCCTCAGTCTCCCAGGGCCGCAGCCGCATCGCCCGCCTCCCCAGCAGCACCTTGAAGAGGCCATCTGGGCCCCTTGCAATCCCAGGTGACTGAATTGAGGGGAGGGGTGACTGGTCCACAGTGATAGTTGAAAATAGGATGCAGGAGGGGACAGAGTGGGGTTTGGATCCAGGTGAGAGGAGAGCTTAGAATACTTCTTCCAAGCATCTCAGGGACCATGAAGAGGGAGGTGGAAGATGGGACAAGAGGCAGGGGAGCTGTGGGGTAGAACCTCACCTTCTTCCTGTACCCACCTGCAGAGCCATCCTTGAGTCCCCGCTGCCTCAATGATCAAAGGACCCAGAAGGAACTGATTGGGACTGGAGGTGTGCTGTCAGCTGGAAACTGCATTGCCAAGGTGTCCTGACCTCCAAGCTGTCCAGCTCCTCCAACCCCTCTAGGCTCAATGCCTTCACTTTGTCCCTGGAGACTCGGACACCAGGAACCCTGACCTTCTTTTCTTACCTTGGAAAAATTTATGCCGACGCACCTTTCCTTTATTTAACACCCGCCCCAACAATTCATTCTGCTACTTGTCCTCTTCATTTTATTTTTGTTTTGTTGAGACAAGAGTCTCACTATGTTGTCCAGGCTGGTCTTGAACTCACAGTCCTGCCTCAGCCCCTGGGCAGCTGGGATTACAGGCATGCGCCACCACGCCCGCCTCCCATCCTCTTTATTAATCTCTATAACACTCAGCTTCTCAGCATGTACATATTCATTTGTGAGTGTTAATGTGTTAATATTTAAAGGTTGCCGCCTGTTTCCTCCTCATTTCCAAAGCCCACTATCAGGCCAGGGGCTCTTTTGGGCTCTGTTCGCTACCCATGTCTAACACAGAGCTCTGTGCGGGGATAGCTGTTGCCTCAGTGGAGGGATGAGGCCGGTGGGGGTGTTCTAGGGAGTCACATCTTGGCTCTTCATGATGGAGCTAATGATGGTGCCTTGATTTACAGAGGAAGCCAACTTTATTAATCTTTACCCATTATACATAGACACACATGAGTATAAGAAGAAAGGAGAATGAATGCAGCCTTAATGTTACCACCCAGGTATAAATGCTAGTGATTCCAGGGTTTACACCCTCCTGCTTCTTTATTTATGCATATATATGTGTATATATATATATATATATATATTTATGCATATATATGTGTATATATATATATATGTATATACACACACACATACCCACATTTACACACATATATGATGTATTTTTTTACTATAATGATTAATAAACCATTTCCATCCTTGGTGTGTGTTTTTCCTCTGTACACCTATGTGGGATGGCAACACTTTCTCTTTCTCACCTTCTCATTCTTCGAAATTTCTGAGTATAGAAAAAACAACACCCACCCAGCCTCCTGCTGCAGGAGGTCTGGGGCTAGGACTGAGCCCAGCTCCTCACTCCAGTTCCCAATCCTCCTCCCTAATGGGCCTTTATTTCTGGGGGAGCAGGGGTCAAAAAGCAACCTCATCCTGGGGTCTGGTCCATGCTACCACCTCAGGGGTGGGTTGCCTGGAGTCCTGCAGTCAGGGAGAGGTTTTTTTGTTTTTTGTTTTTAAAGAGGGAGAGAGAGAGAGAGAATTTTTTTAATATTTTATTTTTTAATTTTCTGCGGACACAACATCTTTGTATGTGGTGCTGAGGATCGAACCTGGGCCGCACGCATGCCAGGCGAGCCCGCTTGAGCCACATCCCCAGCCCCAGGGAGAGTTTTTTGTTGTTTTGGTACTAGGAGTTGAATCCACTGAGCCACATCCCCAGCCCTTTTTTATTTTTTAGACAGGGTCCCACTAAGTTGTCCAGGATGGCCTCAAGATTTGCAAATCTCCTGCCTCTGCCTCCTGAGTCACTGGGATTTCAGGTACTCTGTGCCACTGTGCCTGACTGGAGAGAATTTTTTTTTAATGGTTCAAGGTCCCACTGATGGAACCCAGTACAAGGGGGCTGGGGGCCTGCCTTCCTTCCCACTCAGTGGATTGTGTGGAACATAGTTATCTCCTCTCCATGAAGACATGGTTGACTGAATGAATTAATAGTGTAAATAAAATTACAGGAATCTGTGTTTAACTTGCTTCTGAAAACAAACATGTTAGGGGTATTTAGCACATTGTGAGTAGTGTGTAAATAACACTGCTAAGTTCAAGGCAGTCCTAGCTGTTCTGGGGGACCAGCCTCCCTGTCTGCTTGGTGTACCCCTCCTGCTCAGTCCCAGTCCCTTTTTGGAGGTGTGGGGAAGAATACTCCTGCAGCTGCTGGGCTTCTTGGAGCTTCACAGCCTTACGAGGTGGATAATGGGAAACGGACCCAAAAAAGGGTTCACCAAACCTGCCCACAGTTAAACAGCATGTGCTTGGGATCCAACCCCGGGGTCTAGTTCTTAACGTTGGGCTGCTTCCCTTTGGAAGTGAACAGACATCATTTCTTTTCACATGCCTAGGGTTCCCGCCTCTCCAATTAGCCTTAATGAGTTTTTCCCCCTTGTGTACTGTGATTCCCTTGGAATCAGTCAGTTTCACATCTGTAGCCCCTGGCAGCCTGGCATGGTGCCTTGACCTCAGGAGGCCTCACTGAATGTTGGCTGGATTCAAATTGAATAACTTCCCCATTTCCTGGGGCCCTCACATATATTATCTCATTTGATCATCACCGTCACCCTGGAAGGGCAGAGGCAGCAGGCACAGGGCAAGGCGGCTGGTGACTAGGGCCAGGAGGGCAACCTCCAAACAATAGGGTCCTTGCGCGAGGCAGAATTTGCCTGGGTTGGGGGCAGTCCTAGAGTGGGAGAGGTCACACTTGACAAGGATGTCCGGCAGCCAGCCATCCTCTTGGCAAACATTTGTGGCTCTGTGGTGCAAATTATGCTCTCGGGTGACCCATTAAATGCACAAAGACTGTGCTGATGGAGTTAAGCACGTGCAGCTCCTGCCCTCAATCATGGGAGGTCGGGCTGAGAGCGCTCGCTGTGTGGTGTCCCTCATGCCAGAGGCAGCCTGGCTTTGCAGGGAGCGGGCAGGGACTGAGGGGGGCAGCAAGCTGACAGCCAGCCCTCAGCTGACCTTAGTGGGCGATGAGGCTCTGGATTGTTCTCTGGATTGGATTGTTCTTACATAAAGAGAATCGTCCATGAGACATGGCAATCGATGGCTTCCCATTCATTGCAGGCCCAGCTTGGCCTAACACCCCCTCACCTCTGCCTCATTCTAGCCCTCACTCCATTTCCGTGGGTTTAGGAGCCCCTCTCCCCAAGCCCCTCCACTCACCTCCTTTCTCATCCTGAAACTCATGCCTGGCCCTTCCTGGGGTACAAATTTTGCCCAGTTCATAGAACCAGGCTCAGTGCCAAGAGCTGCCAACGCAGAATAAGACATGATCCCGCCATGCAGGGAGTCAGGATGGCACCTGTCCCTGACACTTGAGTGTAAGCCAAATCCTCCAGTGGTGTTGGTACCTGTCAAAGGGAAAGAACAGGGCTTTCTCTTTGAGTCCAGCCTCCACCCAGCTTCAGCTTGGCCCTCACAGGGGACATCACTACCTGGGAAGCCTCCTTGACAGCAGCTAACTCAGGAGTCCTGTCCCAGAGCCCTGCTTGTCAGTCCCCAGATTCCCCCAGGAATGGGCCTCTCCCTCTTGGCTGCATGTAGGGGATCCTGGTTCCCAGCCAGAATCTAGTTTGTAGTTGTCTTCTCCTCCTGCATAGTTCTTCTGTGAAGAGGGGCCCAGGAAGACTTGAGACAAAGGTCATGGGGGGAGAAAGGAACCAGAGTCGCCCCAGGGGCTTCTGGCTATGGCTATGCTTTCCAGCACCCCTCCCTCAACTAAGTACTCCCCTCAGCCAGGTGCATCCCTCCTGCCCTGTTCATCTGGTCCATTTGGAGAACTGCTGGTTTGGAAATAAAAGGCTACCCACCCCCCACCCCTCTCCTCCCACCAGGGCCACATCTGGTCCCCCGCCTCTTGCCCTCCCAGAAGGACCTAATCAGGCAGGGACAGGAGGGGAGGGGAGCAGGGAACGGAACAGATCCGAGAAAGCAATTAAAAAGCCTATCTCAGGGTTAGAGGCTGGGAGTGAGGGGCAGGCTGGAGCCAGCCCTGGCTGGGGTGAGGAGAAACAGGGAGAAAGGGCCCCAGCTTATTAACCCTGGGGTCTGTGAAGGTGAGTGAGCTTATGCCTCTAAGAACATGCTGAGAGGGGCCAGTGAAGAGGAGGGGATGGAGTCTGGGGTTCAGCCTTGAACTGTCCTGTAGCCACAGAGGTCATTTCTAAACAGAAAAGCCTGACTGGGCATGGGCTGAGCAGGGGGAGAAGGAATCGTCCCTGCTCTGAGATTGCCCCCTTCAAATGAAGGGGGAGACAAACCCTGACTCCAGGAACCATGGGGTCCAGTGGTAGGGAGCTCTGGTCCAAGGTGCCTTAGTCTAGGCAGAGGAAGATTCTACATTCTTAGGCAAACCTGGATTTGAGGGGAAGACATAGGTCCCAGGATCAGGAAGCCCCCATCTGTGGGGGGAGACATGGACCCTGTCCTTGGGAGTCCTCAGGCTGAGGTGCAGACAAGACCCACACCCATGAGAAGTGTCAACATATCCAGAGCTTCTGGAACTGGATGGAGTCATGGGCCTCAAGTCTGGGGATGAGGAAAGGCAGATGTCAGGGAGGAGAGAATGCAAGTTAGGAAACAACTCTGCTAACCTCTGCTCCAAGTTTGCGGAGCTGACAGAAGGAACTTGCATGCATTCCCTGGAGAACCTAAAGCCACCAATGACTTTAGGGCAAATTGTGCTGATTCCCTCCCTCTTCACTAGCAGCTGCCCCTCTGCTATCCACACTGCCAGGGTGGTGCCCACATAGTCCCAATGCAGCCAGTAGGACATGGCCACCCCCACTCAGCTCCCACTTCTCCCAGCCAAACCCATGCCAGATGCACTAGCATTAGACAGGTAAAACACGCGGTAGGTGTTATTACACGGAATGATTTGTTAAAGGCACCTGCCCTGTCCAATTTTCACTGATTTTTTGTTTTGATTTTTGGGTGTTTTTGGTAACAGAAACTGAACTCAGGGGTACTCCACCTGAGTTCAGTTTCTGTTACCAAAAGAACAGAGCCACATCCCCAGCCCTCTATTGTATTTTATTTAGAGACAGGGTCTCACTGAGTTGCTTAGTGCCTTGCAGTTGCTGAGGCTGGCTTTGAACTCGCAATTCTCCTGTCTCAGTCTCCCAAACTGCTGGGATTACAGGTGTGCGCCACCGTGCTCGGCTAATTTTCACTGATTTTATCCTCACAGTTATCTTGGAGAAATAGGTATGGCAAATCCCCATTTTACAGATGTGGAAATGGAGACTCAGAGAAGGTTCCTCAAGTCATCTGACTTTACAGCTATTGAGGAGCAAAGGCTTTGTGCTGTAGAGGACACAATCATAGCAGTCAGAGGCAAGTCTAGAGAATAAAGGGGTTGATCTTTCTTGGTTGATACAAACGCGGGTTTTAGAAAACCCACAGCGGGTTTTAGAAACGTGGGTT